TTTATTCTGAGAAGGGGTCATCGTCCAGGCCGAGGGTCCTGACCAAGGCGTTGACTTCCTGAAACTACTTGTGCCAAAGTAGGGAGCACACGAGCCGAGGGTCTCGTTGCTGAGAAATTACTTAGCCATGCTAAGGTATGATACATGAGCGCTGAGAACCATGAAGCGAGTGGCACCTCGTGGATTGGGCCTATTCGATCAAGTTGGGATCGAACCCGTGCTGATCACACGGTGACTGAGACAGAATTAAGTCAGGATAGTTGGAACTCCCAAAGTATAAAGTGAAGTATTTTTTTTATAAGAAAGAAAAAAGAAAAGAATTTCTTTTGGAATATTCATAAACTGCTATTATGCAAGTATTTAGAATTATTCTTATAACCTTTATGTTTTACATGCATTTAGAATCTTTGCTCATAATGTATATGTTATTAAAGTTTCGCCCCCTGTTGTTGAGACTCACTGAGTACAATGGATGGTACTGACGTTCTCTTTTGGGAACCTACGTTGGTCTGCGGTACAACGTAGGTACCGGATTTGCAGGCGAGCAGGCTACGAGTTAGGACTTCCTTCTCTTCCAGTGCTATTGGTGAGCTCCGCTTTTGTTCGTGGAGTATTCCTTAGAGTCATCTTTATTTAGTTATTTTTTTGTTTACTTAGAGAACTGTCCAGGAAATCTCATGTCCTGAGCAGTGCGTCAGTTTATTAGTAGAGGCTTCATAGACATAGTCGTTGGGTTAAGATTCAGATGTTCTTTATAATAACTTAGCAGTATTTCATTGGTTACTATGAATAAAGTTTTGGAGTTGATTTACTTGAATATTTAAATTAATCAAAAGTATTTGGTTAGAGTATTGCCTTGTTGCATATAAAGCTTGGAGTTATAATAGATTTGATAAGCAGAGATGGTTCGCTCGGTCATGTTTAGTGATCGAGTGCCGGTTCCGGCTTGTTTAGAAAATGGGTCGTGACAAACTTGGTATCAGAGCCTCAGGTTTATGGAGTCCTAGGGGTCTATGAAGCCGTGTTAGTAGAGTCTTGTTTATGGGTATGAAGCGCGCCATACTTATAAACAGGAGGCTACAAGCATTTAGGAAAAATCTCATTTTTTGTCATACTTTAGATTGTGCAGTAGATCCTACCTCAAAGAAATTATCTAATGTATTAGTTTCTCCAAAACTCGCAGAAATGGCTCGTACTTGCAACTCTGACACCGACACTCAGGATGCTGCTCAAGAAACTATTGCTACTATTGTGGCTCAAGGTAGAACTAAAAAGGCTTCAACTCAGAAAAGGAGGGGAAAATCCACAAAGGGAGTCCAAGTACCCCGGGTTGAACAAGAAGAAGGCGTGGAGCATGATGATTCAGTACCTCAGGATCCAATACCGCCCCCAACAGCAGCTCCGGCTCAGGAAACTATATCTCCCGAGGTGGGTCAGATGTTTAATGCTGTCAACAGTGCTATGGAGATGTTTAAAGCCTTTATGGCCAACCAGAACGAGAGGAGAGATGAGATTCTACCTCAATCAAATAGACAGAACAATTCTGAGTCCTCAAGAGTGAATGAATTTTTCAAGTTGAGTCCTCCAGTGTTCCATGGTTCTATAGTTGATGAAGATCCGATGTTGTGGCTGGAGGGTGTCAAGAAAGCCCTCCGAGTGATGAAAGCATTTGATGATGAAGCTGTGGAGCTAGCTGCTTACTAGCTTAGAGATGTGGCCGGCGCTTGGTTTGAGATGTGGGAAAATGAAAGAGATGAAGATGATGGTCCGCCTACTTGGAAAGAATTTGAAGGGGCCTTCATGGCTAACTTTATCCCAGAAGAGGATAGGGAAGCTAAGGCTTCAGAGTTCGAACAGCTCAAGCAAGGGAATAAAAGTGTGCAAGAGTACTACATGGAATTCATAAGGTTAGCTAAGCATGCTCCTCACATGGTTAAGACTGAAAAAGCAAAGATTCGCAGGTTTGTTGGCGGTTTAGCTTACCACATTAAGGATCAGCTGCAGCAGTAGGGATGAAAGCCTTCTCCTCTGTTGTGGGATTTGCCAAGCACTTAGAAAAAGACAAACAACTAAGGAGAGAAGAAAAAGAGCATAACAAGAAAGCCCGGACAACGGGCAGGTTTAGTGGTACATCCAGCGGAGGTGGAAGGGATTCCTCTAATAAGGAGTCATTAGCACCAGCTCAGTCCAGTCATCAGTCAGGTGGTGGGTCTTCCTTCAGATGTACTTAGCAATATGGAAATCAGTCTCGCTAGAATCAGAATTTTAGGACATCATCCTCACATAGCCAGAGTCATGCTGAGCAACATTCAAACCAGCAAGGTCTTTGTGGAACATGTAAGCGGCAACATTCAGGTCAGTGCAAGCTCGGATTTCATGGTTGCTACCATTGTGGAGACATTGGTCATATAAAGGCCAACTGCCCAAAGTTGCGACGTAATTTCAGTGGTGGATCAACTCGTCCTTCTAGTTCCTCAGCTATTGCAGTTGCACCACCTCAGGCTCGTGGTTCTCATAATCAGACCGGGCATGGAGCAGGCAGAGGTGCAGACCGAGTTACTCAGGGAGGGGGACAACCCCGTTTGTTTGCTACACTTGATCGTTAGAGTGCAGAGGCATCTGCAGAAGTTATTACAGGTATACTTTTAGTCTGCTCACATAATGCTTATGCCATAATGGATCCAGGTTCAACGTTTTCCTATGTGACTCCATACTTTGTAATTAACCTCGGACTAGAACCTGAACAGCTTAGTGAGCCATTCCTAGTATCTACTCCAGTTGGCGAGTCAGTGAAAGTTACCAGAGTCTATAGAGGTTGTATAGTTTCAGTCCAAGGTCGCAACACCAAAGCCGATCTCATAGAGTTAGAAATGGTGGATTTTGATGTGATCATGGGTATGGATTGGTTGTCTTCCTGCTATGCCTGTAATACAAAAGTAAAAAGCTAATGAAGAAAGTACTGAACAGAAAAAAGAGCTTTAACTTGCACATGATAGAGTTAAAAACTTGAAATTCATGGGCTTGGAGGGATGTTGTCAGTGGATAGAAAAGTGTAAACCGCATCAACCACCACAATTGCGTCTCCATTGATCTGGACTTGATGTGTTATGGAACTTTGGTAGAGAAATCCAGCCTTCTCCAATACCCTATAAGAAGCCTTGTTCTCCAAAAGAACAAATGCTTGAATCTTTACTATTTCAGGAAAGTCATTGAACACTTGAGGTATTGCCATTTTGAGTGCCTTTGTTGCAATCCCCTTACCCCAATACTCAGCTGCTATAGCATATCCTATATCTGCAACAGCTTCATTCTTCTTTCCATCAACACTTCTTCCTGGAGCTAGTGATCACCCATAGGAATCCGATCGATCGATCATCGATGCATATCGATACACGCCAAGGGTAAGCTATACACACTTCCTTAATGAAAGTCAAGGCTTCTTCTTTTGAGGTCAACGTCTTCCATCGAGTGGTCCGAGTTACTCGATCATCACTGCCCCATATCACCACATCATAAACATTAGTCACTTTGAATGGACGCAAACTAATTCTTGAAGACTCCATTGACATGATACGACAACGACAACAAACCTAGTGTAATTTCACAAGTGAGGTCTGAGGAGGGTACTCGTGTGTACGCATGCAGACCTTACCCTTACCTTGTGAATGTAGAGATGAAAGATGAAAAAGAGGCAAGTAGCAACACACAATTGACATGATGTTTCAACTATATATTCCTAATTAACAAGCTTAATTTGGAGCTTTAATGCACTAGAGTTGGAGATCCTTGTTTTCAGGACAGAGTTTGTAAGCAGACTTGGTAGTAATTAAAAGAGCCATTATGGCTGTAATTCCATTCAATATTTTCAACTTGTGGCAAATTAAAGCTTGTGTTTTATATATTTATGGAGAATGTGTTACTTTAGCAAACTGTATTTGTAAAATAATTCTGGAGAATATACAATAACGTATAAACAGAAATGAAAAAACAGAGACAGAATTTAATCCGAGCCCACTGAATTCACAGTGTTTCCTTAAGGAACTTAATCCCCTCCTAGTACCCAAGGTTGTTGATTGTTTTCTCCCAGGATAGAACGAATTACACACTAGTGTAGCGGTACTTCAAACCCAATGTTTCAGCGAACACAAAGATCAGTAGCAAATCACACTTACTGTTGCTTTCTTAGTATTTAAAACAATGCAGAAGAAAGGAGCAGAAGTCAGAAATTCGTATGAAAAATCTGGGAGAATGAACAACTTATCTATAGCCCCAACCTGTTGAGTTCAACCGAAGAGAGGTTAGTTACGTAAAACGACCATAACGTAAATGGCCATTTACGCAAATTAAACCGGGCAGAAGAAACGTTTTCCGTTACAAAAAACGCACGGGCAGAGTCAATGAAACGGATAATTTGGATTATTAATCTTCCGTTACAAACACGGATATTTAATAATATTACGTTAATATTTACTATTAACAAATAAATTTGGTCCAAAAAATTAATCAATCAACCGAAGCCGAGCGACGACGACGGCCCGAGGCTTGCCTTCTTCTTAACTCTTTAAGAGCTAAAAGAAGAGCAATTATATAGATACCAATCAAAAACCTTTTCCTCTTGCAATATGGGACAATATCCCATTGTCAAGGAGGAAAACTTAAATTTTTATTTTCCCTCCATTTCCCATTCATCCTCTTTTAAGCTTATTTTAGCTTTACAAACTCAACAGAATGCATATCTTATTCTCAATGCTAGTTGGTATAGATAGAAAGAAAGGGCTTTAAAATTCCAGGAGCCATGCATGTTCGATAATAGTATCCAAAGTTAGGAAATCCTCACATTTCTTAATTTGTATTCCATTTTGTAATTAATGAAAGTTGTCAAGTTGAGGGTTTAAGTATGATTAATATAATGAAGAAAGACCAAAAGGAAGTAAAAAATATGTGACGACCCAAAGGGGTCATCACCTGTTTTTAATTGAATTCTGTATCTCCGAGGCCTTAAAAACCTCATTTAGAGTCACCTCGAATTGCGTGCGCAGTCCGGCGTGTAGCCGGAAAGCTTAAATATGAAATTCTGTGAAAAATGCTAAGTTTTGATGTTAAAATGAATAAATTTGACTTTGGTCAATATTTTGGGTAAACGGACCCGGACCCGTGATTTGACGGTCCCGGATGGTCCATAGAAAAATATGGGACTTGGGCGTTTGCCCGAAATCGAATTTCGAGGTCTCAAGCCCGAGAAATGAATTTTTAAAAGAAATTGTTTTTCTGAAATTGTTAAGGAAAATTGAAATGATATTTGATTAGAACGTGTTGGTATCGGGACCGTATTTTGGTTCCGGCGCCCGGTACAGGTCTTACATATGTTTTAAGTTCTTCCTGTAAAGTTTGGTTAAAATCGGACGTCGTTTGACGTGATTCGGACTTAAAGTTCTAAATTTGAAACTTGATGAAGTTTGAGAAAAATTCTTGATTTTGAGGTTTGATTCTTTGTTTTTGAGGTTATTTAGGCGATTTGATCGCACGGATAAGTTCGCTATGATGTTGTTGAGTTAGTTCATGTGTTTGGTGAGGAGCCCCGAGGGCTCGGGTGTGATTCAGATGTGTTTCGGGATGGTTTTAGACTTAGAAAAGTTGCAGAAAATAGCAGTTCTGGTGTCCAGGGATTTAGTGCTATGCGATCGCATAGTAAGTCCCGCGATCGCATAGTGTAAAACTTCAGGGTCCCATTTTGTTCTATGCGTTCGCATGCATCTCTCCGCGAACGCGTAAGGTTAAGTCTGAGAGGTCCTTCTTTTGTTCTATGCGATCGCACTGTCTACTCCGCGATCGCGATGTGTTAGCCCCCAGCCTTCCTTTCCTTCTCTGCGATCGCATGGTGTAGTCTGCGATCGCAATGCTCAGACCCAGTTATTATATGCGATCGCATCCTTTGGTCCGTGATCGCGTAGGCCAAATTCGCCCAATTATTTTAAATGTTCAGAAACAGTACCCATTCGAAATTTTTATAAAACTTCTCAAACTCTTTCTTCTCCAAGGTTCTAGGGCGACTATTGAAGCATCCTTTCACCATTAACTCGTGGGTTAGTAATCTTTAACTCGTTTTCTTCATTTTCCATCAACATCTATTGAATTTCTAGGCCTAAAATATGTGATTAAGGGTAGAAAATTAGGGATTTGGGTAGAGTTAGGGCTTTTTGATTTTTCTTGATTTAGACCTCGTTTTGGGGTCGAATTCGAAAACAAATTATATATTCGGGCTCGTGGGTGAATGGGTGACTGGATTTTGGTTCGAACCTCGTGTTTTGACCAAGCGGGCCCGGGGTCGATTTTTGAGTTTTTGGGAAGAATGATGGAAAAGCTATAATTAGGCATTGGATTCGAATTGTTTAGCATTATTTGATGTTATGAAGTCATTTATGTATAGATACAATTGATTTAGAGCCGAATTCGAAAGGAAAGGCGGTTGTTGAGGATTGAGTTGGCCGTGGAAGTTCGAGGTAAGTGTTTGGTCTAACCTTAGCTTGAGGGATTAGGAGTTGAGTCCTATTTTCTATGTGATAATTGTTGAGTACGACGTATAGGCATGCTGATGAGTATCTATACGTTTGTGTCAAGTATGACCATGAGTCTTATATTGTGATTTTCATGGTTTCGTTGTATTCTTCATGCTTTGGTGATGATTTCTAGTTGTTGTGAAGATTTTATGGAAGGAATTGAGACCTTCGAACATTTTGGAGCATTGGCTCGAGTTGTATTATGGATTGTGAAAGTATATGAGATGATTGAACCCTTTGGAGCATTGGCTCAAGTGGTAAAGTGAGTTACAAAGTACAAGTGAAAGATAGAGAAAGAGTTATTGAAATGTTCCCTTGACGGGATTGAATTATTTAATTGTTGTTCCCTTGCCGGGATTTAATTATTTACTTGTTGCTCCCTTGCCACTATTTAATTGTTAAATCGTTGCTCCCTTGCCGGGATTCCTATATGTTCTTGTTTATTTTCCTTGCCCTTGTTTGTGATTGTTGTTTGGGTGAGGAAGAGTGTTAAAGCACGAAGGGTGATGCCGTGCATTGTTTGCTATTGTGAGGAAAGAGTGTAAAGCACGAAGGGTGATGCCGTGCCGCACGATGTACCATTCCGTGCCAATTCTATTGATTATATGTGAGGAAAGAGAGTAACAGCACGAAGGGTGATGCCGTGCACGTTTTCATTATATTATTGCTTGGTGAGGACGAGAGTAAAAGCACGAAAGGTGATGCCGTGCACTTGTCTTTGATTTTCCTGATTTTTTTTGCTGATAATTGAGTTATGTTGTCCTTTACTTCTATTTACTGATTTTCTTGTTGTTATCGGTTCAAGTGCATTAATTGTCTTATTCCACTATTACTGTGATTCTTTATGTTGGCATTTTTCTTTATTGTGTTACTTGTTATTATTGGCTCGAGGTATCCTTGCGCAATATTATGCCTTAAATTTATACTATAACTACTACATGTTTATGTGACTTAATTGCTACTTGACATTTAGCATACTAAATAAATTGCCTATTTGCTCCTTAAAGTCCATAATTAATTGCTACTTGTCATTACTTATTTTCCTCAGTGAGTCATAATTATTGTGTACTTGTTGTCTTATGAATTCGTATAAATTGTTGCGTTTGTTGGAGTAAATTTCATTTGGAAGAACTGTTGACTTAATGAAATGGGAGCGGGTGGTACGCCTACCACGAGATTTAATGAAATGGGAGCGGGTGGTACGCCTACCACGAGATTTAATGAAATGAGAGCGGGTGGTACGCCTACCACGAGGTTTAATGAAATGGGATCGGGTTGCACGCCTGCAACGTGATATGTACTGACAGTGAAATCTGCTTTTATTTCCCTTATCCGTGTAAGAGTTAAATTATTGATGTTCTTTATTATTTTCTTGAAATTCTGTATTATCTGCTATCCTCGAAGCATGTTCCCCTCCCATTTAAAATGTTTATTCTTGTTATTTTTTCCCGCTGTAAATATATATATATATATATATATATATATATATATATATATATATATATATATATATATATANATATTTCCATTATAGATGTATATATATATATATAACTGCACGGGTTTATGTGGTAGTCATGTCTAGCCTCGTCACTACTTCGCCGGGGTTAGGCTAGGCACTTACTAGCAGATGGGGTCGGTTGTGCTGATACTACACTCTGTGCTCTTTTGCACAGATCCAGGTACCGGACAACAACAGTAGTTCGGGAGTCTTCCTTCAGTCCACCGAGATACCGAGGTAGCCTTGCAGGTGTCCGCAGGCCCGGCGTCTCCTCTATCTTACATTTCATTCTGTTATCTCATGTTTCGAGACAAACAGTGTTATTTTTCCTTCAAACTGTTGTATTTAGTACTCTTAGTAGTCCGTGGATGTTGTGACACCAGTTCTTGGGTAGAGGCATATGATGATTTTTGCATTATTGTTCAATTTATTTAATTTAAGCGTTCCGCTAAATTACAAATTCCGCTGTTGTTTAATTATTTATTTCCTGTTAACTAAATTGGCAAAAAAT